GTGCTGTACGGACCGAAGGCGGAGTGTAGGTACAGACAGATATATATATATATATATATATATATATATATATATATACCTAAATAATATATAATCACTTATAAATATTCTATAAGCGAATAAAGTTTTGAATTTGAAATTCACTTATTTCATTTCAGACAAAAATAAACCATTACTGAAAATCTACATCTACACAGGGAAAAAATATATGTAATTAATGAAATATATGTGCTTTAGTACAATAATACTTACAAAAAGTTATTATTTTTAACTGTCTTTATTTAAGGCAAGAAAGTGATTTAATTAGACCAAAAGTAAGCTAGTTTTTAACAATCTAAGACACCTATTGTTCTGTGCTTTTTAAACTATTAAAAAAAACGTGAACCGCTAAGTTGTTATTTAGCATTGGTATAATCAGTATAAGTTTTATTTTAAAACAGGGCTGGGAAAATGGGCTGTATAAAGCGTACATTATTTTAGAATTTTTCGTTTTGTTGAAACAATACAACTAAAAACTATTATGATTTTATTTCAGGAAAAAATTTTGTATTAAAGATGGCAGAGCAGGACGAATTTATACAGTTTTTAATGGTATCTACAAATAGGTTTTATAGTGTTCTGAAGGCCGGAATGAGTATGAGAAAAGCTAAGAATCGTGAAGAAAAGCTGGAATTTTACAACGCTTATAGTACAGCCGAACTTTATACCTCCAGATCTAGGATGATAGAAGGGTTTTTAGAGTCCTGTCCACAGCTAGTTGTTCAACTTTATATCGTTGCTACAGACTACCAGCGACTTAGTAGAAGCTACTATACAAGTAAGAGAACTCATTATACTGTATTCATATGAAAGAACAAAAAATATTAATACAGTATCGAAGATCGCTACCAGCCACCTTTCTATATTCATTATCTTCCCCTCCCTCCCCTCACAATTGTATAGCGGCAAGTCTGGAGGCTTATTATGCTAAAAAATCGGGTTTCTACACCATATAGATAGCCCATTGCTTAACAACAAACAAAATTCATTATTTTCCGCTAGGGGCGATTAGCATTGTATATATGTATGTTTATATAGAGAGAGTTTAGTACGTTACATTAAAACGAAATTGGATATGCAACTCTCAAGTCACGTAAGAACCACCATAGAGATAAAGTTGCGGTGGATCGCATGTATAATAACTACATTTTGGCATGGTTTCGCGTTTGGTAGGTAGTTTGATGCTACCGAAAATCACTTTTGGGAAGAGTATGCAACAGTCCTTTCGATGCAAAACACTCATACACTCAGATCATAAAGATGTGCTTAAATCGGGAATTTAGAATTTTCAAAATTGGAATAACCCTTTTATTTAATTGCATTGGAAAACAAAGGAGTATGAATCATGTCTGGGAACCAGGACCATACAGAAAGAGACCCCCTACAAGTAGTGCTGAGCGATTCATCGAAAATTCGATTAGATTTCGATTAATAATAACAATAATCGAAATCGAATTTATACGATTGTTTAATAGCTACATTTGGATGCAATTACTGGGCGTCGTTTGTGTTTACTCAAAGAGAAAAACACAGAACCATTGCACTCGTGATTATTTTAACAAGCATCTATAGGGCTAACATAAAAAATAAAATTAGCATTTTTTTTCTTCTCGTTGTTGTACTGTGCACTAAATAATAAGAAATGTAAAGTCAGTAAACATTTTATGGCATTATTTTTTTTTTCACTTAGCTTTATTCCTGTCTTGTCTTTTCACATGTTTTGTTTTTTTCTATAAAATTATTTAATTAGAATAATTGATAATCGTAATAGGGGATATTTATAAATATCGGATCGAACTACAAAAGTGAAAATCGCTCAGAACTAGCAACAAGTCGTACCCCAGCTGTGTATCATCTTGTAACAGGTAAGAATCCAAGAACACAAAGGTGATTGGCAAAAGTCGTCCATCTGCCACAGACAAAAGTAGCAGCATAATTAAAAAGTGTCTCCGATTGCAAAAACGACACAAGTTAAGGCTACACAGACTACTTCCATAAAATATCCGTTCAACTGTTACATACCTTAAGCAGATGAAAAATGAAATGGGTAATATTGCTATGGGTTTCTGTGAAATTGGACTATTTAAATGGCCGCTGGAAAATTAGTTCTTGTATCCTAGGTGATATGTTTTGGACATGATAGCCTTACGACGAGCCTTTTGCAATGAAAACCACGCTGCAAGGCTATTTTCTAGATGCATAGTCGTCAAGCGTACCATTACCGAATGTGGCGACGTGGACTGTAATGGCGTGGCGAAATTAATATAACTACTCAACACTTTGTAGGATGTGGAAATCTTTGTTGTGCAAATGCAATCAAATAGCAAAATAAATATACAAGATAACTTTTGAAGTTTAAGCTGATTTTACAAAGGGCATTTCATTTCCAGCCTTATTTTGGTTGACACTGTTTTCAGATCAACTTTACTGTTGAGTGATTTTTGTAAAGGCTCGGAAAGTGTCTATAACACTTCAGATTAACACCAACTCGAAAGTGACCACATTTGTCTCTTGGATCTGCTATAACAGTTAGTTATAAGGCCTGGCTTGTGTTTTGTTTTTTATCTTATATTATATCTAATAAAAATATGTACCAGAATACAGGCCTTGCGTAGCTTTATAGTTTATTAGACTATACCGATCAGGTTATAAAACGCAGATAGTGTTATCTGCTTCAGGATAATGTGCAGTCTAGTAAAGCTTAATGTGGAATAAAAATGTGATTATAAGAATAACACGAACGATTAAAAATGTTAAGTTTTGCTTATTTTTTACATCAGAATTCAGCGGTATTGCAAGGACGAGACTTGCAAGTCCTTGGTTAGCTCACTTAGAAAGACAAACGAAGTGTATGATGAAAACTGAGAAGCTTTTAGTAAAAGGACAAGCTATTAAAATGAATTACTCACTTAATAGTACTGCTTTTTTATTTAATCATTTAATGTTAGATTGACACGTTTCCACAAAGGCTTTCCATGATGGACAGTGTCTGCAAAGACAGTGTGTGGAGTAGTACAAAAAGAAAAAAAATATTTGTTTGTAATTAAGCATAAAGCTACACAATGGGCTATCTGTGCTCTGCCCACCACGGGTATCGAAACCCGGATTTTAGCGTTGTAAATCCGCAGACATACCGCTGTGCTACTGGGGGTCAACGAAAAGAGAAAAGAGCTGAAACGTGCAAGAAACACTATATCAACTTCTAATTGTAAGTATAAATGACATTTGTAGATATTACCAATTAATTGTTGAAATGAAATTTAAACGTTTAATAACTAAACAAAAATTAAATCTTTAATGCAAGAATTTTCGACTTGAATGATGTATTTTACATATATTTTATTATTACTTCTAGATTTTTCAATAAGTACTGGGATAAATTTTTCTTCGTGCTTTATTTAGTTTCTTAGAGGTTAAATTCATTAGTAATGATTACCTTAAAATATATACTATTCTGGTTAGGAAACCAGATCATGAAGGGGTAAATATCTATGACCCCGCCTCTAACCCAAGAAATAAACAACAAGATCAAATAACGAATGGTGATGCTCATTTTTAACATTGTTTACCTTCAGCATTCGAAATTAATATGCTATATGTTATTGGGGATTTGACTTAATATTACACAGTTATGTGGCTTTTTTACTTCTTAATATTCATATTGCCGGTTATCAGGTTACTTTTAAGGTTGTTTTTCTTCTTTCAGTTGTGGCTCAAGGCATCTCGATACCTCTGTCTTTGTTGTCACTTTCCTTGACATTGATGACAAGAGAGAAAGTTCACCAGCGAGGAGAAAAGAGTATTTTTACTGTTGGGGCTCGTTGTCTCTTTGTAACTCAGTATTTTTTCATGATATCGGCAAGAGTTATAGCAGTGGCGCTACTTGCTTCTTTCTCAGTTAACCTGTTGGGTTTGGTATGTTCTACTCATGGATTAATATCTGCAATGTACATGTACTGGTTAATAGGAATCAGCCCAATGAAAGATGCTCCAGAGAGTAGGTACGTGTAAGAAAATTTAGGGTAATGATATTACAAGTTCGGAGATTATTAACTTAAAAATAGGGTTGATAAATAAATAAATGAGTGCATAAATAATCACTAACTACACAGCTAACAAAACGTACGTTACACTGAAAAATAGGAGCAAACATTTTATACGGTCTTGGTATAATTAACAAACGCAGGTTGGATTTAGTATTTGAAGGTATAGTGGCATGGTGCAATCGGACTTTGTCCTAGTGTAGAGTGTTTTCTAGAGTCATACTCTTCGGATTATAATGTACTGTCGTGAAAAAGAAACCGTAGGAGACATAGATTGATCAGCATAGAACACTGTTAGGTTCTTTTTGGACGCTGCAAGTCAACGCCATAATTCATCACGCAATGCCAGGGAGTTGGTGTTAGACTGGCTGGGTAATGGGACAGGTTCCTTCGTGACGTCTTCTATTATAAGCACCTTGTATCAAAGGTGACATGTTGGTTTAATTAGAACCTAACATTGACTACGCTGAGTTTAAAGGCACTCATGTTCTGTGAGTTGCTATATTGTCAATGAAAATTGATTCGCTAAATGGCGCTGTGATTAACGAAGTAATATTAATATTTAAATTTTTAATAATATGAAGCTGATTGGAGCTTAAGTAACTTGTACATTGTTCGTTAGTTTGTGTAATATTATACAACAGTAAAATTGGTAAATTTTCTCACATCTTTCTTTATTGACCTGTCACGGTTTCGAGTAATAAGGGCATGTAGTAGCAACTAAAAAGAAATATTTTATAGTTAAATCGTTCTTCAGTCAAATGAACATTACCAAGAGGCAAAATACTTCATAGAAGTGGAAAAGTGTGTTTGATTGAAAAAAGTATGCCAAGAGTTTAAAATCTCAATTATACCAGCAAAATTAATATAGTTTAGAACGAGTATGTTGTTTTCAATTAAAAATTGTTAATTAAAGATTCATTAAATTTACCACATTTCAAAGTTATTCTTTCTGACATTGGTAATTGACATTTATGTCGTAGTTGCAGGGATGATAACAAGATGTTTAATTCTATTTTGAGGGTACTATTAGCTAATGATGTTATTTTCAGGTGTGTAGTTTAATACGTATGTACTTCTCATCTACCTATTTTACAATCTTTTTTGGTAAACCACCCATATATTACCGTTCCAACTCTTGATTTAATTTTCGTTTTCCTTTTGTTGATTTTCTGGCATAACTACCATTGTATACACAAATCATAATACTGCAAAGAAATGGAATCCTTTGAATTGTTAATATTTTAATTAAAACTTTAGCATATGTTTTTAGCTATAAAAAAGATCTAAATCACACATATTGTTCCACTACAACTACAGTGTAACTTACTTTATGCATAATAATTAAAAGTAATTAAATATTTAAGTGTCAGTGTTTTTGTTGATCATTAATTTATGACTATCAAGAAAAAAATATGCGTCAATTATTGATAATATTTAATAACACACAAAAAAGTTATTTTTTGTTAAGTTTTAACGTTATTATCTTGACTACGAACTACATTTTTTTGTAAATTCTCAACACAAAAGTGTAACTTAAATTCCTGAAAGATAAAACTTAAAGGGACGCAAATAATCTGAAATCACATTTCCACCCCTTTATTTCAATGAATACTATATCATACCCAAATATTTTAGTCATGATTCCAAGTGTGTAGATTTTATTTTTATGTACACATTTAAGGTAACTAAGTGCACCGTGTTGAATAAAATGTAACTTTCTTTTCACATTATTTCACAGATACAGAAAAACAGTCTCAGTATATATTGGTTTAATATATATCTTTACCTACTTCCGAACCTACGCACGGACACCACCCTCTGGGACGGAAGCCTGTGTGTACCACGTAGCGACAGTGATAGAAAGCTCTGCCATGATCGGTCTCTGGTACGCTCTTAGTGAGGGAGATAGTTGGTTCAGAACTCCTGCTCTCATTAACCATTTCGTCTCATATTTTCTGGGTTTCGTCTTGATGGTAACCGCTCTTTTTTCATTGTCAAACTTTTCATAAAACTATACAATAATTTATATCTAAATAATAATGTCACATCAATTAAGAAATTGTTAAAGCTTCTTTTATTATCTAGAATAGAATTATGATTTTACCAATGTGTACTTGCAATGTTAGAGATTATCAAGAATTGTACATGAGAATGAAATATAAGTGTGTGCATATAAAACATACTCTTTACATACTACCTCAGTTTTAATGATGACTTGGTTTCGTTTGGTGTTGATAAACGTAAAGTATCTTGAAATATTTAATAGCTTTGTTAGAGCTATTACAACTTAATGTGAAAATTATTATACTGTGATACAAAACAACAATCTATTGATCTACATTTCAAGCATTTTATTGTAGATCAATGTCACAGCTTTTCGGTAGACCGTTTTTCATGCCTTACTTTTGTAGTGCTCAGTCATAATCTTTAGTTCAACGTTTCGACATTCATGTTACGGAGCATCACTACTCTCTTTAAATAATTGTTTCAAACGTTCATGTCGTATAAGAATCTAACTCACCCAGTCTGGCATTCTTATTGTACAGAATATAAAGAAGCTTAAGCTTTCACGAAATTTCTAGAATTTGCCAATTATTATTTATTTTTATATATATTATTGTCTTCGTCTAGAGAGAAAAAAAAATGTTAAAAAAATAATAATATCCTACAGCAAAATTGATGGAGCTATATTTGTTCCCTGACTTAGGTAACAAAATTAATTAAATTAATTTTAAGTCAGTGATGTTTAATTATTGTTCACAACCGCTTTTAATAAAACATTTGTGGCTTATTAATAGTTAAGTCTGTGATATTTTCATTATTTCTAATCAGTTTATTCAGCATTAGACTTAAGTGAAGCAGCTATGTTGAGATTACTTTAAATATACATGAATATGATATTGTATTATTTGTTTTGTTCAATAGATGGTACTAAATTAAACTTGATTGAAGCTGACTGCCATGTGTGGTAAAATTTTAAAATAAATTCATTGAACTACCTTTAAATAATGATGAAGAAAAAATAAATCAAATATGTAAAATAAGTTGTATTTTTTATTATATTAAATATACAAAATTAGAATTGTTTCCACTTGTTTATAATTATATTGCACCATATTAATGGGAATATATATTCTATTATTTTTCAGGGTTTGTACTTCACCTGTTTCAAGAAAGGTTCGGATAGGTTTTTCTTTCAAAGACTAAAAACAGTAAATGAAAACCTCTGCTGATGAGAAAAAAGAATTTCAAGTTATTTTTTTGTCTAAAATTGTTTTATTGAAACATAATCACATCAAGAACGGGGACTCGTTATAACACACTTTTTATTTACTTTTTCAATGACTAGCACATAAAAAAACTCTTACTTTTGAATGAAGTAGCACATAAACCATATATCACGGACTTTTCTAAATAATTTGTTCTTTGTTAACGGATCAAGTAAAAACAATAGTCCACTTTTACCTGATTTTCGTGCACAGAGAAGGTATTCGATATTTTAGTAGCCATTGTTACGTTGAACAAAAAGTAAATTTCAATTGTAGTAAAGTGTATTCTGATAGAAACTTGACATGTTTGCCAATTTATCTTTATACTGCACTTAGAAATATAATCTTAATTATTTTCAAAAATCACCTTTTGTAACACGTCTTCTGTTAAAAACTTTTTTTGATACTACGTTTAAACAGATCTGATATCCATAATAAACAAATAACTCTAGGTCTTCACATGTAATGTCTTTATCCTTGAAGTCGAAGTCAAGGATTGGTAACCATTTATATTCTCTGTGAGAGAGTGAAGTAACCGAATGAGAGGTGTGTCTAAATCGTCTTGGAAGTTGTTATTTTCTTGCTTTCAGTAAAAAGGATTTGTAAAAATGTATCCTAACAATTTTGTTCTCAGAAAGCAATAAAACTTTAAAATTAATTTTTTAAAAAAAGTATTCTGAGTAATCTTTATTTTAACTTTTTTATATATATATAACCAAATAACTAACAATCTATAATTATGAGAGGTTTAACTAACTTTTTGGAATCTCAATTAACACTTTATTTGCAAACTTTCAAGGTAGGTATGACAGAAGTTTATATTCCAATCCTCTTATCATTGACGCACAAAAGTTACCTGAATGACTGCTTGCTCACATTAGAAGCATTTACTAAAATGCATATTTTACATACACAACACATTTCATAATCTACCTTTAGAAGAAATGTATCAAGTGTAGTAAATTAAAGAAAAGTTAACAAAACCTTTTTTTATCACTGTACACTGCTAAATATGTAACGAGAATACGAATACATCAGTAACAACTTGTACTTTTTTTCTAAAAATATTACGCTTTCATAACTTATCATTATATAATTCATAATACACGTGCTACTAACGTTGTCATAGGACTTACTGCTAATCCATGGATGTGCAAAGTTCGTGTGTGTGATGCTTCCAAAAGGAAGCAAAGTGTCAGCATTTATGGAAAAGTTTACATGACAATCGCTCATTTTTGACTCTATAGGAATATAAATTGACATACAGTTAAAGTCTGCACATATATAAATTTTATACTAGCAACAGTGATGATGAAGACTAACAGGAAAATCTTCTTGCATGGACGTCCGCATAATTTATTACTGGTGGTGGTTGCCATCGCAGAGTGCAGGTCATTGCCTTGAAGTTTGAATGTGATGCTCTGGCTGATTATGGCATATTTATGTACATCTAAATTTGTAATTTATATTTAAATAGTATTATTTTCTAATACATTTTAAAATAAATTATTGAAATAAATTTTCTTGAGAAATTCCAGGGGGATAGGGCAAATTATACCCTTGCCTCATTCTTTGGACGCCCACGTTCTTTTGTTATTCCATATTTTCCTCTCTGTAAATTAAGCTAACTAAAGATGAAAACACTAAACGAAAATAACTACAAGTTGACTTAAACGAAATCACCATAGAAAGAAATTAGACTAACACTGTGAACTCTGATACCCAATTTTAACTTCATTAGAAATTATTTATTTCAAAACAATTTCAATTCTATAAAAGAAGCAAACGCGACATTAAACTACCTCATGCTTACCGTGAATGAACTCTACAGTCGTTCACGTATGGCGAAATAAATAAAATGTGAGGCGCACTCAAGAGCCAAAAATAAACTGAAAGTAAGTTTCAACTAAGAGAAATCGAAGGTCTTTTGCTGATCATCCATGAGAAAGAAAGAACGCAAAAGATCACTATGCATCTCCCGCTAAAAGTTAAAGGCAAACTAAAACAACACACAATCTGAGTTCTTTAGTGCAAACACGAATTTATACATGCCAATAGTCTCAACTTCTTAGCATACTCAAGCCTATATTGTGCACTAATTACCTCACTTGGCTAGTAGGAGATGTTCAAACTAGGAGCACAGCTATTATCTTTTATCTTATTTGATGACAAGAATAGTTCAACTTACTAATTAAATGCAGCTGTGACTGCTCTTGTAAGAAAAATAGATACGTAAACTTTGGGTTTCACCTCAAACTCTGCTTACCACTTAGACAGAGGAACTATGAAAAACAATATAATTTTTGTTTTATTTTACATTTTAATTATAGAGGAGGAAAACATAGTGTACGTCCTTGTAATGCAGTCTACACTACTTTTCGCTACAGTTTGACTCAGCAATCCTAACTCTAGAACTATAAACAAAACTCCAGTTCAAACTTTATCCACTTAGTGCTCATATAGTCAAAATAACTCATTCTTTTTCCCAGAAAATCACTTGCTCAGCACAATACGTAAATATATGAGGTAAAACAATAAAGCACTAATACATCACAAAGCTCATCCTCTTTAGGAAGGAGTTATCTAAAAAATAATTCTCTAAAATAAAAATACACTTTACAACAAAATATATCAAAAATACCCTTAAACAATGAAAACATGGAATGAAAACCTTACAAAGATAATAATTAACGACACCTTTTACCTGTAAATGCTGAAAACTAGCCTTCAAACATAATTACATATATGCACAAGGTTGTTGAACTCAACCTAAAATCAAAGTACAAACAATATACACTCACAAAAAATACTTTATTCTAAACAACATTAAATGCATAAGTGTATATATATATATATATGAATAAAACAATCCACAACAACCAAAAATTAAATTAAAGATGCTGCATAAATTAAGAGAATCTCTAGGGTATAGGCTGTAATGTGGGATATAAAATGTGTCCTGGGTTTCGGAGGTGACTGCGAAAGTAGGACTCGCATTGCAGTGGGAATACACCATCTATAACACATCTATCTATATATGTCTAGAACCATGATTTGCTGCAACACGAATTGCTCTTTCATTTTAGTCAGGGGTTTAAGGGAAGTGCTACCCTTTCCAAATTGCCATGAAATCCACTGGTAGGAACACTGTCAGTGGAGTGGTAGATATTGACGTGATAGAGACTGCTGCCATAGCTGGTAGTAGGGTTGTCCATGTTGCCATAGTGGTAGCTGAATGTTTTGGGTTTTCACTAATATAGTTGTATTGGAAGTCATGGAGGTAGTTAAAAGAGCAGCAGAGTCAGGGCTGATTTTTGTTTGATGGATCAAATATACAGGAAGCTTCTACCTCCATGCATAATGTTGTGATCCTATTAAATTTGCACACACACACATATGCCATGACAAACCCTCTTTTCTACAAAGCCTCCCCTGATGGAACACTTCATCTTATTTTTGATCTGGTCTGGTTTTTGATAAGTTTATTGACGGCTGTGTATTTGTCTCCCTAGATTTTGTGGGCACATCCGAGTACACTTTCCTAGCTCCTGTTGGTGGAGAAACCAATAGTGAGGCAATTGGTTGTGTCTGGAAGTGATCCAGAGCCTTGAGGGCCAGCCCTACAGTTGCTGCCTCCAAGCAATGTATCTTCGTTCATTGGCTTCAATGACAAAAGTAAGGTAAATGCAGAACTAGAAACTTTAAAGTGTCCCTAAAATCAAAGAGAAAATGTTAACAGTTAGTTCCTTCCAGTTCAACAATTCAGGTAGTTACTGGTAACTAGACAACACTGGAAAACACCACTGACCAGTTTAAAAAAGTTGAAACATTAACAAAACCAGCTATCTCACTGCTTCTTTGATTAAAACTCATCAGGCCAGTATTCAAAGTTAACTTCGAATTTCACATTCTCATCTCTCTGATGAAAGTCTGATTTATCATGAACATCGGGCTGCTTTCAATATTACTTTATTGGTTAAGTAAATACAAACAATGGTAGTGCGTTAAAAATAGGAGTGTTCTATCAAAATTTCTAAGTGTAGAACGTTATTACGTCTTATTTCCAAATGCAGTACATCTTTACGAGAGTTTATGTGCTGGATAAGGAAAATTATTTCTTTAGCTCTAGAAGTGTTATAATATTTTCCATCTTCAAAGTCCTATTGCTTCGGTCTTGAATTTTTCAAAGAAATAAACACAATGTTTTTGTCAAACTTGTCTTGCCATTTTTCTAATATTGAGTGAACATTTTCTGTCAGCTTAGTCGACTGAAAAGATACCTTTCATACAGGCTTTTGAAAATGGAAATCTTTTCATTAAAACTTCCAATATTTAAGCCTTATTTTGTCTTAAATATTCGGCTAGTTTGGTTATTATTTTTTTGAAAAGAAAATACAAATAATGGAAGGGTTTGAAGAAACAGTAGTTTTCAATCAAAATTCCTTATTCTAGAACGTTAGTACATCTTCGTTCCAAATGTAGGTATTTTTAAAGAGAGTATTTATAAAAGATAAAGAATATTTTCATTTTTAAAGTCCCTATGCTTCAGTCTTAAATTTTTCTATAAAATAAACACAATCAGAGATTTGTCATTACATTTTGGTTTAAATTTGACTCCTTTTTTCACTTGTTTTAAGAAGTTATTTTTTCGTTTAAAAAGCGTGAAAATATTCATTATTACTTTTACGATTGGAACATGTCTTTGATGAATGCTTTACAAAATGAAAATATTTTCATTATACTTCCAACATTTAAGACGTATTTCGTCTTGAATATTCCGGCAAGTTTAAATATGACATTTTTCAAAAAAAATAAATATAAGTAACAAAAGGGTTTCAAGAAATATGAGTTTTCAATGAAAATTCCTAAGTGTAGAACTTCATTACGTCTTATTTTCAAATGTAGTCCATCTTTACGATAATTTCAAAACTGCTTTTCAAAATGAAACACTTTTCATATATATTCCTAATTTTTATGTCATGATTTATCATGAACATCCGGCCTAGTTTCAATATTATTTTCTTGGTTAAGTAAAGATAAACAATGGTAGAGCTTTGAAAATAGGAGTTTTCTATCAAAATTAATAAGTGTAGAACTTCAATACATCTTAATTTCAAATGTAGTCCATCTTTACGAGATTTTTGTTCTGGATAAGGAAAAATGTTTTCGTTAGATCTAGAAGTGTTTAAACATTTTTCATGATTAAAGACCTAATGCGACGGACTGTAATTTTTCTAAGAGATAAACACAATCGAATATTTAACGCTACATTTGTCCTTAAATTACACTCTTTTTAACGTGTTTGAAAAAATGTTTTTGTCAAAATATCCTTGGCATTTTTCTAAAATTGATTGAAATTTTTTACTTTAATCGGCTGGAAAAATGCCTCTCACAAAGTCTTGTCAAAATAGCAATATTTTCATTAAACTTCCAAAATTTAAGCCTTATTTTATCTTAAATATTCGGCTAGTTTGGTTATTCATTTTTTAAAAAAAAAGAATATACAAATAATAGAAGGGATTGAAGAAAGAGTAGTTTTCACTCAAAACTCATCATTCTAGGACGTTAGTACGTCTTGTTTCCAAATATAGGTCTTTTTAAAGAGAGTATTTATAAAGGATAAAAAATATTTTTAGGGTTC